ATGGTAATTGTGATTATGATCTTGCCAAATATTCTCTGTGTCCTTCAAATTTGTGAGTTACTATATGGTTACAGCATATTTAGAATTGTGTGTCACGTAAATTTTTATTCACATTTACTAGTCATGAAAGTTTACATTTACTATCTTATATATTAAAACAGAAGTCATGACTTGATTTCATGTGTGATTTTTTTAAAAATGGACTGTTACTAGAAAGTTATGTTACATTAACTCTCTAATAATATTATCATTATTATATCTTATAATATGCTTAACAAATTTGTTTTGGTAAATTACCCCACACCTTCCAACTTAGTCACGCAAAATATGTCAATAGATATAAATTTAGGAATCTTCTATTATTTATAAGGAAATATGTCAATAATAGTTAAATGCATCGAGAATATATTAACAAAAATCACAGATTATTAATATGTAATACTGTATTTATATACCTTAACAAAATTTACACGTTATATATATTAGATAAATTTATTTCGATGTAAAATTTTAAAATTGTATTGTTTAGAAAAAAAGAAATTGTTTAAAAAGTTCCTTTTTAATAAACTTTTCATAATATTAATTTATGAAGCTATAAGTTTAGTTTTTAGCAAAAAAATCTTCGAAGTTTATATTATCTTTACAAATTAGATTACACTAATATTTAATCAAGCTCTATTTATATTACTTTATCTAAAAATGAAATACTAATCTAACAAACAATAAAATATAGAAGAAGAAACAAACATATGTTTGAAAGTCATGTATAATATAGAAAATTTGAAACAATCTATTTGATTAAAACACTTATTATATAATATTATTATGTTTGAAAAACATTTACTATACATATCGTAAATATGTGATTACTATAATATATACCAATTTACAAGTAAAAACAAAATGTTTATATAACTATAAACGAAAACAAACACCCGCGCGGTTGCGCGGGTCAAAATCTAGTTATATAAATATTTAACAATTAAAGGAAGGAAATCGATATGGAAAATAGAGAAACAAGATCCCCATGACACGTATTAATATATTGATGTGGAAAGACCAAGTAAAGTACTTGTTTCATTAAATTTCAAGGTATTCGATATGTAATCTATTTAAATTTCAATAGAGTTTAAATTACACTTTATAAAAATTGTTTGTATTTATATTATATTTGATCATTATTTATTTTAAGTATTTCTTTGTCTCTAATTTTAAGTACTAGATGGTTATTGGTACCATGCATAGGGTGAACTTTTAAAAAACAATATGTTGTATTTAAATACATATTTTGTTATCAATAATCTTTTTTTACATTTGATTAATGATGGACATTCAGATACTATTTGGTTTGGTTAGATTTTGTTTCTTTAGATCTTTGCGGATTTGGTTTAATTCTTTGCAGGTTCGGTTTGTGTCTATATTCCGATAACCCATTTAATTTTTAAAAATAGATTAAAATTTATATATACTTCAAATTACTCAAAATCTAAAAATAAAAAATAATATATAACATATAAATTTGAAAAATTAATGTCAAAATACTTAAACTTAGTAAAAAAATTGTTTATCTTAAATATGTAGACAAAAATCATTAAGTTATTTAAAGTATTTTTGTATTTAGAATATCGTTGAGCTAATTTAAAAATTTACATTTAACTATTTGGAAAATTTAAAAACATCTCATGTATTTTGTATATTCTTAGATGTTAAAATTTGAAAATAATTAATATATTTAAATATATAAATCTGGTTCGAGTACACTCGGATACATGAAATATTTCGATTAAGTTTCAATTCTCTAGATATCAAAATTTTGAATCCATTTTGATATCTAACCATTTTGGTTAAAAATCTGTAATAGTTTTTGGATTAGATTTGGTTCGGTTATTTGGATTCAGTTTTTTTTGTCCAATCCTATATTTTTTATTGTACCAAAATTTAAAACGAAATGGATGATGGTTCATAATGATTTTGGATATGCAACCATTTTTAAACCAAAACACATTTTATTATGTACATGATCCATTTAGTTAATCATTAAAAATTTTGTTTAAGATTCATTAAAAACAATTGGCTTCACTAAAAAACGTTACCATTGATCACAAAATTTTCAATGTGAGATTTTACCATTTTTAGTAATTTATGGTCGTTTAAAAAAATTAAAAATATAACATATAAGAAAAAATCTATTTTTTTGTTATATGATTAATGTGATTGTTTAATTTCTTTTAATAATATAAAATTAAATAAAAAGTAAAGAAGATAAATTTTTTTTATCAAATCTTATTATTCATAATCATTAGTTGTGATATATTTGTTAATCATATTAAGTAATTTCATAGATTTTATTTAAGGAAATAATAGAGAATATTCTTCTGTATATTAATAATTAAATATGATAGTTAGTTTAATAAAAATATAGCATATGTTTAGTTAGGCCAACATATTTCTCTAAAAATTCTGAAAATCATTTTCATTGTGATACGTGACTACAAAAAAATATTGTAATGCTTCAGGAGTAATATATAAAGGATTTCTATATTTAACTATATAACTTCTAATAAACTTTAGATTGTTTTATTTAAATACGTTACAACGGTAAAAATCAAATTCTAATTAACGTAATGGTGATATGTAATTTATTAGTTATTAATATTTATCAAAATCTTACCAAAATAACTAGTTGTACATAAATTTAATCAAGATAATATAAAAGTTATTAACTAATACCATATTTAAAAAAAGAGAAATATGAATAACTATATCCGCGCATCAGCGCGGTGGATCACCTAGTATATAGTAGAATCTTTATAAATTAATACTCGATAAAATAATAATCTCTATAAATTAATAAATTTATGCGGTTCTAACTTGGGCCTATTCAAAATTTGACACAAATAGATAAAATAATAAGATTATAATTTTTTTAGAAAATTCTATATAAATATATGATCCCATTAAAATTATAAATTAATAATTTATATGTATGTATATTGTATATAAGCTGTGTTCAAGAATACGCTAGGCGCTAGTCGGGCGGTTGGTCAGGATCTAGCGACTTACAAGAAAATCGGGGATTAAGCGGGGATTAATCGGGGTATAGTTTTAGAACATTCCGTTATTATATAGTAGTGTTTGGTAAAATCTAACAAATTAACGTAATAGTATAGTGGCTAGCAGTGTTAGGTATACCGCAAGTAACCAGAGTTCAATACCTTGTTAGTTCAATGTCGGTTAATTTTGATGTTTTAATAGCTAAAACTAAAATTACATTTATATCCTCGTCTCTAACCTAAAGGTTAATAACATTTTGTAATCCACGCCGACGCCGCCTGTGTAAAACACACGATTTTATTCTTACTTTTTTTGTTTTGTTTAGTGATTATACCAAAAACTTTCCAATAATCTATCAATATAAGAGATTTTCAAACCGAGTTCGTGTCTTTAGGTGCCGCGTTTTTGGATTCCACGGTTAACTCGGAGAAAATCCGACTCACCGCCTAACCACACCGATTAGGTCCTTCTCGTCGCGGTAGCTTCCCGATCAACGCCTATCAATATATTGTTTTTATATTCACAATAAAATTATCTTTATCTTTTCTTAACATTTAATATATTTTGATGAGATTTAGTAATATTATATCTAAAACCACATTTATTTTTTTTGCAATATATATGATATACACCAAATAATATAATGAAATTAATATAAATGTCAAATTTTTTTTTAAAAAAAACCATAACTAATGTCTATACAATAAAATCAAGTATTTTTCTTATCGTAGAAATAATATTTCTTAAATAAGAAAATCTAAATAAGAAAATTTTAATATATTAATATTTCTATATATTAATAAATTTCAAATTCCCAATAATATTAATTTATAGAATTTTTACTGTATAACCTATGAAATTTGATACCAAATAATAAGAAAAATCTAAATTGCAAACATGATTAACCTGGTTTACATCAAACCATCTCACGAGGGCAACTAGCTATAAAAATAATTATTCTTGAGTTTACCTCTTAGGATGAAATTCTAGATTTTATCAATCAATAGAGTTGTATTATTATAAATTTAATATTTTTTAGAAATCAAACAAAATATTAAAAATTATATTATATTTTAAAAATAAAAAGATAAAAATAAATAAAAAATAGTAACAGTTGGAAAAAAAGAAAAATCTTTTTTTTTAAACATTTTTATCGCCATCAGTAAAACCCTAAAACCTAAATCATAAACCCTACACATTTGGGTAAACCCTAAGTCCACAGATAAATCATAAATCTTAAATCAAAAATATTAAACACTAAATCTTAAAAACTCTAAACCCTTAATTCTAATCCATAAACCCTTGGATAAATTGTAAACAAGGTTTATAGTTTATTCAAGGATTTATACTTTGCACTTAGGATTGGTGTTTTGCTGATGACTTTAAAAATATTTTAAGTTTTATTTATTTTTATCCAAGATTTAGGAGTTATGATCAAGGGTTTATTGTTTAATGTTTTTTATTTAATGTTTAAGATTTATCCAAAAAGTTTAGAGATTAGGATTAAGGGTTTATGGTTTATCCAAAGATTTAGGGTGGTTTATTCAAGGGTTTAAGATTTATCAAGAATTTAGGGTTTAGTGTTTGCTGACAATGTTAAAATATTTTTTTTTAAATTCCTTTTTTTGCAAATATTAAAATTTTCTATTTATTTTTATATTTTGATTTTAAAAATATAGTATAATTTGAAAATATTTTATTTCCTTTTTTAAAAGATATTAAATATGTAATAATATAACCCTCTAGTTCCTATAAAAACCATCGGACCCTAAAATTACTTTTTTCGTTTCATCTTTTTATGACTAACCATAGTCTTGATCATTCCCTCGAAATCATGGCTTTCAGTAGCAAGGAACTCGTTAGTAAGCTGTTTCTCTCTTTCTATCTAGTTCAAGCATTAGTTAGATAGGTTGTTTAAGCATTTTCATGTTTCTTTTTTTTCTCGCATGGCGATTGACTATTATCATACTATTTTGTCTGTTTTCGAAGGCCTCAGAACGGCAAAAGTAGTGGTGTTATGGGACATGGTGGAATGTCCGATCCCAGACGGTATGGATGTTGTTTCTGTGTCGAATAACATAAGGCTTGCCCTTAAGAATGCGGGTTATCAAGGTGATGTAGACATGAATGCTTTTGGTGATGCCTTGCAGCCCCTCGATGGATTTTTGAAAGCCAAGGTCTCGATAGATAACTTACCCGAAGGTGCAATTTTTGAACTCTCTCTCACACTATATAGCACAGTACTCTCTCTCTCTCTCTTTAACGTATGTATTTTGATCTTCTGCGGTATTATATTGCTTTCATGATCAGGAGACGAAGAAGAGAGACGTCAGATGATTTTATCGCACTTCCTTTGCAAAGCAGTTGAGTATGGTACACAAGTCAATCTTATGCTAATCATGGGAGACACCTCAGGGCATGACCAGTTCAGCAACGCTTTTGATCTACTACGAAGAAAACGATACAATATTATCTTAGCACAGCCTAAGGACTTACCAATGCTGATAAGTGGTTTCGTTTCTACAACATGGCTTTGGGACTCCTTAGCAGCTGGAGGAAAAGCTCTCAGAAGCCTAAAATTTGCTGATGACGATATTTCTGCTATGGCTACCAGTAGCTGTAAGATATCTCTCTCTCCCTCTCTATCTATTATCTCCTTTTATCTGTTGTTTAGATTTCTTATGTGTTTATCTTTTTTGAAAATAAAAACTCGCAGCGGCCGAAACAATCATCTTCTGGGACATCTCTGGATGCCCGCCCCCTTTGGGTCACAATGTTCTACATACTGTTGCAAACATTGCAGATGCGCTTAATGATATGGGTTACGGTAATCTGACGTTCAACTCAATCCGTCTTTATTGTGATGTATTTAAGATGGCGGATGATGTCCATTGCGATACCATTATCCCGATGCTACACGGATGTGAGTTCCCTTCAAACTCTTACATCTCTCTCTCTCTCTCTCTCACACTTATTTAGATGTCTCGATCTGTGTTATCTTTTCAGCAACTGAAGAGGACAGACGCAAGAAGATTTTTGTGGACTTTATCTGCAAGGCTATTTGCCATCTTGACTCGTTGAATCTAGTGCTAATAATGGAGGACATCTCACGACACCCGGAGTTCCTCCATGCTTTTAAGTTTTTCAAAGGGCGAAAAAATATTAAAATTCTTTTATCACAGCCACAGCCTGAAAATGTATCAGATGAGCTACTTAGTTCTGTCGAATCTGTATGGGTTTGGTCAAGCCTATCTCTCGCAGGATGCGCTATAGGTGAGGAGGAGGAAGAGAAGGAGGAGGAGGAGGAGGAGGAGGAGAAGGAGAAGAGGAAGGAGAAGAATAAGAAAAATAAGGAGAAGAAGAAGAAGAGGAAGGAGCAGAAGAAGAAGGAAGAGAAGGAAGAAAAGGAAGAGGCTGGTGATTTCGTTGTTACTTTACTACTCTGGTTATTCCAGTGTTCGAAGAAATTTCGTAGTCACATTGTGATTTCGTTGTTACTTCTTTTATGTGTTATTAACTATAAATGAATTTGTTTGTGCGCTCCACATTTTTATGTTTCATGGTTTTCCCTTTCACGCGGTTGGCGTGCTTATCAATAATCTTGAACAATGGTTTACATGAGTTGGGTTGGTGGGCTTACGCCAAAATGGCCCCTCTCTTTTTGTGTCGGTTGCAAAATGGTATCAGAACCTACTGTCTAGACTTACGTAATAGTTGATAGAATCCCTGTTTATGATTGATTATTTTAAGAATTCTGGAAAACACCTATTTCACAATGTCTACTTCAACTCCTCAAACATATGATTTCCAATTTGCTTTTCTACTCTTAATAAATCTAAAAGCCATTCTTCATCTTCCTCCTCTAATATAAATTCTCTATATGAAATCGAATATATTCTCGGAGATAAATTACCAGAAACTACTATTCCTTTAATAAATCTTTATGAATATTTTTATAAAAAATCCAGCGCTATCTCTGTCAAAGGGGTTCGCAAACTCATATCACCATCCTCAAGCCAAAGAGTCATGGAGTACGTTCAGTCCATCAAGTTCTCGTCCTGCCAAGTTCGAGCAACTGAAGAAGAGCAATTCATCTCCCTTAACATCCTGCCGGATCTATCCAGAATGTGGCAGCAACAAGGCTATACTCACCTCCACTTTGACGTTGACTTGGTCTGACCTTACACGCCAGAAAAGGTCTACTAGTCACTGCTCATATAGCTTTAATCGACTCATGATTACAGTCATACCAACAAGCGTGCATCGAAACTGTTCAGACAACATTAAATACCGGAACAATATTTATAACATTGTTTCCAAACTTTAATGTTTCACTACAAGACCCCAATATATTGAAGACACTCAAGGTTCAGCTTCAACTTGTTGGAGCACCAATGCAAAAAAAGAGTGTGATAGCAACACTACATCATCAAATCGTCTATTGAATTCAAGATCACGCTCTTGACCTCGTTCTACTCTCCTCTGATGAAGCACTCTACCTCAAAGTCACATCAGCATCCCAAGCGCCTAACTTGGTACAAATTCCTCGACAAATAACCCGTGAAGAGTTACTACACCAATTACCAGAATCATGGATAACAAGCTATGAAGAGTTTCATCAGGCCACACAGTCTAATATTCAATCATCAGAAGTCACCTTCCGATCACGAAACGATGGAACAACAGAAATCAAATCCGAGAAGCCAAGGTTATCATCATTTCGAAAACAATTTTTCACTCAATTTGCAATACAAATAGTCAAAAGAAACGGCGAAATCGGTAGAAGACCACAAAATCCTAAACCATTATACTTTAAACCAGATGGCAATGAAGTCTAAAATGAAACTGGCCACATATTCTTCGACATATGCTACTGCCATGCCTGCGAAGAAGCATATTACGAATCCGATGAATACGACCGAACAAAGCGAAGAATGAAGAAGGACCCGCTCTACAAAAGATATCTTGAAGGAGACTTCACAGCCAGACCACTCGGCGATGATAAATACGAATTTATCGTTCAATATTCTGAAAAAAAAAAGAGAAGAGCTGAAACAACTCATGATGATAGATCTGGATGATTTCCCTCCAAGAGAAGATTTCACCAAAAACAATATCGTTCATTGCCCGAAGATTTCACCAAAAACGAATTTATCGTTCAATATTCTGAAAAAAAAAGAGAAGAGCCGAAACAACTCATGATGATAGATCTGGATGATTTCCCTCCAAGATAAGATTTCACCAAAAACAATATTGCTCATTGCCCGAAGATTCTCTCTCAAACCGTCAACTCTTCAGGTCCTGATCAGCTGAGTCAAGCAGAGAAAGTTCTCAACTGACAAACCGAGAACGCTCTCGCCCAAAATCAACTTTTCTCCACAATTAATAACAAATTTGATAAATTGACAAAAATTGTAACAAAAGATTACATGGCATTCAAAGCTCAATAACCGAAATACATAGAAGACTCAACAATTTTCACCATGAAATGATGGCTATGGCGCAAAACATGATGGTAAATACTACTCAATTCCGCAACAAAGAAGCAGAGATGGCCTCTCTAAAAAATCAACTAAAGGATCTCCAAAGAAGCCTAGAAATCATGGTTCAGAATCAACGACGCTCCTATACTGGCTTTGATTCCCTTGGATACATAACACCAGGAATGCCTACTTACCAAGGATCATATTCCCCTGGATTTCTCTTTGGCGATCAAACACAAAAGGCGAAAACTCCACTACCTAGCTTCCTCTCATCCGACGAAATCTTCACATCTCGCTATGGATCAACGTCTATTATCTATCCACAGCAAAAACAAACACGCTCAAAGCCTCGAAGACAAAAGAAGTCAGATTTCCAAGCAAATCCGAATAAAAGACATGTTCTTACTTCATCCTCCAGCCACGAATCTGTTAATGATAAGACGAATAAAGAAAAAGGAAAGGACATTGGAATAATCAAGTTATAAATGACCAGTCTACTCAACACTCTTGGAAACGACCCGGAGATATCTGATCAATCATCAAAAATCCAAGAGAATATACAGTCTTCGTCAGCAAAATCTATTGCTAAAATTGAACATCTCTCAGATTCAAGTTCAAGTAACTATGAGATCGACTCCTATGAAGAATCTCTGCCAAGACAATTAGCGATTGGAGAAAGTTCGTACTCTCCGAAAAAAGAACCAAGTAACAATGAAGTCTACTCAAGTGATGAAGATATGGAATTCGTGTCGCCGCCTAGGACAGAGATACCAACAACAAAGCACTTCGCTTCAAAAGTCATGGTATTTACTTTCGATAATATTCCTTTTGAAAAATGGAATGATCATCTAGAAAAATATCATGCATGGATGAACTCAGAAGCCCTTACATCACCTTTACACTTGGTCATACAACAATTCACTGCCCTTCTATCTGGAGCACTCAAGGAATGGTGGAATTCACTCGATGAATACAGACAACCACAAGTGTATCAGACAAATATACCATTGCTTCTCGGAGAAATTCATAGAGAATTCATTGGTACGCTTGCGCACCAAAAGGATCAGCTACAAGAGGAATTCTTCTCAGCAAAATTTTGTTCATTAAGAAAGAAAGATCTCGCAAAACATTTTGAAAGGCAGACAAAAAGATACTACGCTCTTAACTGCCTCAACAATCCTAGTCTGAAGCATGTCTATCTCTCCTCCATTGATGACTATCTTAGTCAAAAGCCTAAATTAAAGATTAGAGATCAAGGACAAACAATCGAAGAGGTCTCTATCAGCCAGATCCAGCAATATGTCTTCAGAAAACTTGATAAACTCTGCAAGCAAAAGGAATTTTGGATGGAATTCATGGATAGATCAAAACAACTATCCAAAATCCGTGCCATACCTGATATATCAATCAAATGTTGAAAATCCAAGAAGACTTGTTCTTGCGATTCACATGAGAAACGTCGGAAGTTCAAAAAACGATTCTCTAAGCACTCCTCTAAGTTCAGCGCAATAAATTATTTCGGAAGAAACGAAGTTTCAAGAAGGCGTCAAAATGTTTCATGTGTCGAAAAGAATGACATTTTGCAAACAACTGCCCAAACAAATAAAAAAAAGAAGAAGCAATACCTAATCAATCATATAGCCGAGATCACACCAGACATTAACCTCAACAGTCACGACCTGGAGTCCGTTCTATCTTATGATAGCGACGACAATGGTGCAATTTGTGGGTATTCAGACGAAGAATACTCTTCTGAGTCTTCACCTGATGACGATGAAGACTGCTGTTTCAAAATCACAAAAATACCGCAAGAAGAAGAACTACAACCTCCTCATGTACAAGTAATAATCTTTGACCATTCCAAAGAAGAAGATCCAGTTCGCGTCATTGCATTTGTAGATATCAGAGCCTATAAAACAATCGTGAATCCTAAGATTCTCTCACCTTTAATGTGGCTACCCCCATCAAGAGAAGTTTCGTGTTGCAAATGCTGGCTCGTTAACCATCAAGCTCAAGTCAAAACAAATCATAATCGAGCTTTTCCCCAGATGCCAAACCTCTACAGAGGTATTAGGCTCTACAACGCCAAAGAAAGATCTCATATTGGGATGGGATTCTTATTACGCTTTAAAGAAAGCTTTTAATATCTCAATCAAACCAAATAGAATAAAATGGAATTCGCTTTTCAAAGCCTTCACGTCTATCCCACTATCGTATTCAATCAAAGAACCGGCGTCGCAAGAATTCACGAATATTAAAGAAGAAATGAAAACGAAATCGTGTGCCAACTCCCACACAGATTTCCTACAAAAATGTAATAACCCGCTTTTGTTAAATTTGGATTTCTTTGTTTCATTACCATTCAAAGAAAACGTTGACACTACACCAACAAAAGCAAGCCATGCAGGAATGCCACCCACATTGCTAAAACAAGCTAATAAAGAATGGGACCAGCTAGAGGAACAAGGAGTCGTTTCATCAACTAATTCTCCATGGGCGTGTAAAGCATTCTATGTCAACAACCGTGTCGAACAAGCGAGAGGAAAACTCAGATTAGTCATTGACTACAAGCCGCTGAATCAATACCTACAAGATGTCAAATTTACACTACCAAATAAAAGGGCGCTTCTTCAGCATCTTCAAGGAGCAACAATATTCTCAAAATTTGACCTTAAATTTGGATTTTGGCAACTTGGAGTTCATCACGAAGAAAGTTACAAGACTGCATTATGTCTACCAAATAGACATCTTCAAGGGAATGTGTTACCTTTTGGGCTCAAGACAGCACCTTCACTGTTCCAGCAGGCAATGCTTCGTATATTCAAGCCCATTCTCCACACGGCCTTCATATATATATATATATGATATACTTCTATTCTCGTCAACCAAAAAGGAACACATCCAACTTCTTCAACAGTTCCAGAGCATAGTGCTACAATATGGGATTATGCTCTCGGCCCGAAATATGGTCATAGCCCAGCCCAACATCTATTTTCTTGGAATGCAAATCGAAAATTGAATTTTCACACCTCAAGCCCATCTTG